TGGCCGTTTGCCTGTTTGGCCGATAATGGACGTAATTTGATAATAGAAAATAAATTTTGGATTTTTTTCCAAAACAGCAATTTAAGGGTCCTCTGGTAGGTTAGGAGGGCAAGAAATTCCTCCTAAGGTTCCAAAACGTCATGAAAACCGTTAATTGAAAGTTTCCCCTCCTAATCTAACCGAATAAGCCAGGGGACCCAAAGCAGAAAACGGGACAGCATGTCACTTTCGTGAGCCGATAGCACACGAGCGAAAAGCGACGTAATTTTAAGAAGACGGGTTGTTCTCCACCAGAGTACTGTCGGAGACGCTGAGAGTACAGGTGGAGACATAGAGGGACGTCGTAAGTACTCACCATTGAGGCGTTATTGGCAACACACTGCACCAGCAGCTTGGGGCTTGGCAGGAAGCCTGGGGGTGGTGGAGGGCCGGTGCCTGTAGGCTTCTGGCACGCTGTGTACATCATTCAGAAAATATAATTAGAATCAGGGATCTTATGTTATTTTATACGTAAAGTTGATATTTACATTGGTAATTAATGCTGCTGCTTTAAATTTCATATCGGGAGTTATTACTCATAATATTTATAGAATATCTTAGAGGAATATTGATAAATTAATTTAATTATACATAAGATTTTTGTCAATGATATTTGATGATCAAAGTTTTTCAAATTAGTTTGAAATTTTACTAGGTCCTCATAACCAGCTTTATCCAATATATATTTTTAACAAATTTAACTACTGAACAACGCTCAAAATGTTGTCCAGTGCATAAATATACAGAAAGGGAGACTTGGCAAACGGTGTATTTACATGTGTCGTTGGCGTTGACCTGGGCGTCGAGGAGAGTCCCGAAGCAAACTTTGGTAGCGTCCTTAACCGAGTCCTTGATGGCCTGGCAGGTGGCGGCGTCCACGGTGCTCGGACACAAGCACGCAACTGTAAGGCAGATAGACAGCTACAACCTTCTCCAACCATTACGCCCCGACGAAGTCTTTGACAATATGGGGGAATTATTAAGCATATTTATGACAAACATGATCACAGTGACGGGTGGAGTGAGCCAGAGAAGGGAGTGGATTGAGCCTGGGAAGGAGTGGAGTGAGCCAGGGAAGGGGTGGAGTGAGCCAGGGAAGGGGTGGAGTGAGCCAGAGAAGGGAGTGGATTGAGCCTGGGAAGGAGTGGAGTGAGCCAAGGAAGGGGTGGAGTGAGCCTGGTAACTGGTGGATTAGGAAGAAAGACAAGATGCTCGAGTGTGTGGTCCCTACCCATTTTTCCCTTGAAGCAAGGTGGTGGCATATCTGGGGGAGGTCCACCTGGGCCACCTGAAGGAGGAGGTGGTCTGCTAGCCTGGGGTGAGGCGCAAGCAGCCCCCACAAGAAGCACCACCGTCAACATGAAGACCTTCATCACGGAGCTGATTCACTGCGGGTAGTGGACACATACATTAGTCTCTTGAACAGACACGCAACAGCAACGATAATAATATAAATTAAATTAATATGTAAATGGTGGACATAATTGTAATAAAATATTATTACTTTCAAAGCATATAAAAGTTCACATAAAGTTCAGTGGTATACACAATCAATAAAATAGTACACAAGAAAAGTTGTTCTTTTGATAATCCCAGTCTACAAGATGGCTACACCAGACGGAGGTGGAACACGGCCATGACACGAACATTGTTCATATTCAGCGTACACTCCTTTGACCTGACTGGTGACAAGGGTGCTCTAGCAATATATTTTATTCATTACTAGGGGGGGGGTCGTACCCGGCGTTGCCCGGGTCTGACTGTCTGTCTCCCATCCATCTATCTCTTTATCTATCCATACATCTAGGAGGGGTACCCGACGGTGCTCCCCTCGTCGTTCCAACCCTTCCCTATTCCCTCGTGCTCTCCACTCTTCCCCTCCTCCACCCATCCCTCCCCCTGTCCTCAACACTCCCCTCTCCCCTTGTCCTCGCCATCCTCCCCATTGCCTCTACCTTTCCTCCCTCTCGCTCTTCCCCACGTCCTATTCTCTCTGATAGATTATTGAAAACAGTGAATGTCAAAGTTCCATCTATTAAGCCTGAGCTCTTGTTAATCAGTTCTTGATGCTTGGGACAAGATTTAGAACGACAAACTAAATGTGAGGCTACGACGAAAGGCTACATGTAGAGAGTGAGGTTGTTGTTGTTGTTAAAGATTCGCTACCTGAAACAAAAAGTTCCTGGTAACACGGGCTATGGTGAGCCCGTAGTGCCTTGCCGCGACGAGGGACACGGACGGTAGGTGAAGGACACGGAAGGGAGGTGTGGAACGAGGACGAGGGAGAAGGACGTGAGGTGTGGGACGAGGACGAGAAATTGAGTGTAAATGTGTTGGGTTCTCTCTTGCTGGAGTTAGTCTACTTGTCATAACTGTGGTCATTATGTTTCTAAATGGTACATAAAGTATGTTATTTCTAGCATCAGATTCATACTAAGATATTTTTGGTAACAGCAAGAGTTGCGTCACGTGCTTCTCTGTAAAGTCTCAACGAGGACGCAAGAAATAAGATCTGGATGGTGTCGGACCAGCGAGGGGCTCACCTGAGCTGGGCTGAAGAACAAGAGCGTTGGGATACCTGGCCGTCTGTGTCTCCTTCAGCATCTGCTCGGGTTTATATACGGTTGAGGCTGCGTACTCTGCACCGTCACTAATGAGTGTGCACCTGCTTCGGGCTCCGTCCGACCTTCAATCACCGATTGTCTCACTACCAAGAGTAAACCTGTCGCTGGCCCCATACTCACCACCTGTCTACCAAGAGTAAACCTGCAGTTGGCCCCATACTCACCACATGTCTACCAAGAGTAAACCTGCAGTTGGCCCCATACTCACCACCTGACTCACTACCAAGAGTAAACCTGCAGCTGGCCCCATACACATCACCTGTCTACCAAGAGTAAACCTGCAGTTGGCCCCATACTCACCACCTGTCTACCAAGAGTAAACCTGTCGCTGGCCCCATACTCACCACCTGTCTACCAAGAGTAAACCTGTAGCTGGCCCCATACTCACCACCTGTCTCACTACCAAGAGTAAACCTACAGCTGGCTAATTAATCACATTTATCCTTCCTAATGAAAAAATACTGTGTTTACACCATCATACTTACCAATAGACCACGGTACTCATCCAGTAGTGTTTGCAGAGGTTGAGCTTCGGCTCTTTGTATGGACTCAACAGGTTCACAATCTTCTTTTCACCTCAGGTTTCAGTTAATGTCTCCAGATGTCCCACTGGTTGTCAAGTATTCTATTGGAGACATTTGTCTTATACAATAGACTGAATTTAAGTATGAAAGCTGAACAAGAAAGTCTGGTCAGCCAGACTTGAGGCTGATCAAGAAAAGTCAAAATTTAAGTTGATAAGACCAGAATTAAAGCAGGAAAAAACTAACAAGAGGAAATTAGAGCAGAATACCATACAAGACAAATACTAGGCTCGCTGAGCAAAGGACGGCAAGGGGGAATTTCTGGAAACACCAACAATAGTTCACCATCGAGACGTCAATATGTCTATGGAATGAGACGCCTATTTTTATATCAGAAGAGGCCGAAGTATATTTCAGCCACTTTAAAAAAAAAGCATTCTTAAAACAATGGCCAGTGGATGACTGGGCCCAGTTGTTGCAAGCACAATTTACAGGATTGGTGACGGAGGCCGTCTAACCAGTTAACCTTGGACGAATGTCGAGATTACGAAATAGTGAAGGATAGCGTTTAAAACTCATTTACGCTTACACTCGAAAATTATAGAAAGAGGCTTAAAGAGATGGTAAAATCACAAGGGCAGACATGCAGAAACAGCCAGAGACTTAAAGCATAGGTTCCGGAGATGGTTAAGTTCGGTTGGGGTAACAATCTATGAGGAATTAGAACAGCTCATGATAATGGAAAATTTGTGACAATGACGCACCCTGACACCAGATTTAAAATCCAGGAAGCAGGAATTAGACATGTGGCAGAAGCGGCAGACATTATAACTCATCCCTTTGTGTGTATTTTACCTCAATAAACTTATTTCAATTGTAACCGAGCTGCATAAAGAATACCGGAGCAGCCTATCCAAGGCAAGGAAAAACAGAATATTGGTGGACCGATTTGTTCAGACAACAGAGAGCAGAGATACACCAAACCGTACAGCCGGTGAGGGGCCCAGCGCTGGCAAGTCATGTAATCCAGAGCTCTCTGGGACGCCGCAGCCACCATAACCATATGAAATATGCCTTCCTATTCACATTTATTTTTGGTGAGAATGATTCTATTATATCTATCAACTTGAGAATGGTTATCATTTTAGGTTTGGATGTGTCTCTTACTGACATTGACAAACACTTTAAATTTTCTTTAAATTTGGCTTCAAACAAATATAAACTGAATGACTGGTAGTGTTACAGAGAAAATTAATAGTGAAAGGCTTAAGATGAGCTCAGGAGTGTGGAAGGAAGAGCTCTAAGCCTCCTGGCAGGAATCACATATCATCTGCCTCTACCTACATGTGTAAAAATGAAAAAAAAATTATACATTTTGTCATAAACGATTACAATGTGTAAACGCCATATTGATAAGAACATTTTGTCTGTAGGAATTATGTAACTGAATCTTAGAATTTATAGGATTTATTTTCGTTTGTAATACTACAAAGACTTGCCATACAACCTTTAAAACAAGCACAAGTTTTGCGTTTAAAGTGTCCTATGCTGACTCACGCTTCAAGTGTTGTATCCGGGAGGCAGTTGTGGGGTGAGGCTCCGAGCGGGCGGTCGCTTCCCAGGTCATCTACACCAGCGAGTGATCACCATCATTGTTCTACCTTCCATGTGCGGCTACAACACACACTTACCAGGCCCGCTCTCACGCCAAAATCATGTAATGAACTTCCATCTTTTATAATTTGTTTAGTTAAATTATACATAACTGGAGTTATCTGAAGGTCTTGATAATGATTCTATGCGCTAAAATCAACCCGTCCTCCAAAAAGTATAGTACTTTTATCGAATGTGGAGTAACTGTACAAAAATATTAATATTGTTCCCAGAAAACGCCTTTGTTTTATACTATTGTGTATTATAATGGTATTACAAGAACTGCAACAACCTAGCCTCTCCTTAGCCTAAATAATCAATCAATCATAGGCCTAATATACGTAATATTTTGCTTAATTTGTTACATATATGCACTATACTAGATCAAGAAAAGATTATAGGTTGTCGAGTGCCTTCTCTTCCTAATCCTCGGAAAAGCTACATCTACTCAGCAATCACTATATTTACTATACACTTTGGAGGATACGCTGGTTAAAACATAGGGAAGCGCTGTATAGCGATTCTATATCTTCTAAGAATGCCAGTGATTGTAGGGGCTTACAACTGCCTGCAGGGGCCGCGGCGCTGGACAAGGGATTCTCGCCCCTCCGGGACTATAATTGTCGCTACGCTCCATCTGTTTCTGCCACTGCTTCATAAGGTCCGTGCAGGCAGGCACCTTGTTACATTCCAGAATGTGCTTTTTCCGGCATGACTTGTGCCCTTGACTCAAGCATTCAAGGTCAAGAACTTCGGAAGTTTTAACTTTGTATATTGTCGATCGTTAGTTTGGCCCTGAAGTAGTTTTGTGTCCAACCGGCGATCTGCATCATTTGGCTTCTCATTATTAAGGACGGGAAGCCTGCAGGTCGTATCAAGGTTCCTAGTCAAAGGCGAGGCTGTCTGCGCGATCACCCGACCAGTTACTCGCCATACCCAAAAATGTTTCTTGCAACATTAATATAGGAAACAGAAGGAAATTCCTTATGATATACATACGTTGGTATTTTTTCTGATTTTTTTTACACCACGGAAACGATTTATAGTTTATAGCAGAACTAGCTAATTAAATCTGTGTAAGCTATTGCTAGAAAGATTGTGGACCTCAGTAATCGTCTACTATCGCCCACAGGATGGGTATAGGGTGCATAATAACTAGCCTAACCTAACCAAACCCATCATAGCAACATAACTAAGCCTAACATAACCATATCTGACCTAATCTTACCTAGCTAAAGCAATCTACCTCATCGTAACTACCCCTCACCTAACAAGCGGCATTACTAAACAAAAGCATTGTTTGGTAGATAATCCAGTAGTTGATTAAGTTCACGTCGGTGGTAGTTGCCAATACTTCGTAGTGCATATTGCCTCGTCCCCCTATTTCGTATCTCCCCTCGTCATCCCCTCCCCTTTCCCTCCTGCTCCCCCCTCTCCCACTTCTCTCAGAAGATGTATTATTAAGAATCACTGAAACAATTGTATGGGTCTCAGATAATACAGATAATATATTATTACGAACACTAAGAACTCTAGAGGAATCACACCATATATCTCACACATGACTTGAAAATCGCATGAGGGGGTCTCAATAAATGTTAATATTTATTTAAGTATTTAACTTAAGCCTACCTCGACCAGCCTTTGTTCGTCCCATACCCACCAGACCATTTGACCTCCCTGCAAAGTTTTGTGAAGCTAGCCTCCTGTATCTGGCCTCCAGTTTTGGATAGACAGACAAATATTCTCTCATACTATCAAATGTGAAATAACTTGTTTGATTTCCCTAGAGCTTTAGCGATAGTTAATAATACATTCAGCCTATCCTGTTTTGGTAGTATTTATAGTAACGATGAGGACCATAATATATATACCGACGTACAACGCAATTATAAAATAGAAATTGGTACTATTGAATTTGGACAAACTAGAAAAGATTTTATATTTATGTTGCAAAGACAAACTAACCTAACCTTCCTAGGCCTAATACACGATATTTGAGGCCTAATATAGTACATATGTGTGCTATACTAGGCCTAGAAATATTTTTGTTTGTTTTTAGCCTTATTTTTTCACACTATGAAGTACAGATAGTTACAAAAACTACTATCTAAACAGGAGGATGGGTTGAATATATTTTCTGAAACAGATTTGTTTCAGTGCGTCTTAATAATAAATTTTCTGAAAGCGGGGGGAGGAGAGATGAGAATGAGGCATTATTTTCATATACATGATCGAAAATGTTGGTAGTCCTTTTAACCTTTTTGTTTATCTCATTTGGTCATAATATTTTAGATATTAAGTAATTAATTATACTTTAATTTCGAAGAGGACTGATATCTAGTATTTCGATACACTTTATGTCGAAAATTATGTAAGGTTGTAACTGACCAATCTTGGCACATTAGATGAAATAAATGTGAATATTCTTACTATGAACAATTTATAGATCTTATGTGCCAAGATTGGTCAGTTACAACCTTACATAATTTTCAACATAAAGTGTATCGGAACATCACACCACCACATCCTCGCAGTGGACTAATGTTGACAAAAAAAGTGAAGTATTACTCAGAAAGAGCGGAAGACCCTGGGGCAGCTGAGCAGTGATGGGGACGACGACGCAGGAAATAATGGTGAAGATGATCATGAATGCCTAAGGCAATGATAATAATGGCTAAAAAAAGAGCAAGCGATGGTGACGTGGTAGGTTTCCGCAATAGCACCTTGACCCGGCTAGGCTACACCAGGACTACGTCCGGGTTTAGCCTAGCATGTAATCATTGATTGCCCACTTTATCACGGCTAGGAG